GGATTTTCGGAAACGCCGGTTACAGTGTTGTCGTGTAGACAGTGAAACCGGGGTTTTTGCCTTGCGACGTCAGAGTGTGCGCCGTTATCCGCTGTGTTTGACGTCAGATTTGCGCTTCTGATTGGCCAACGTGGCTTTACGGTTAAGGGTTATATCGCCGCCTGCTGGCGTGGCATGCTCTTGACCGCGCTTGATAGCGTGTTTTTGCGTTTTCATGTAGACGGAGACCGAGCATGTGTGGTCGGGATTTTTTTTTTTAAACGCTGTAGGAAAAACTCCGGTTATAAAAAATACCCGTGTCCGTGTGGACAAGGCCTAAAATGTGCAGTTTTACTGTATTGGGGGGTCCGAAAACCAGTCACTATCTGGTGTGTCCACCATTTGTTTGCTTGTTTATTTAGTTAAGTTGTGCAAAGTATGTTCATGCTAACTGAAAGGCATAGCTGACAGAAAAAAAATATATAAGCTGCCTGTGCATGATCATATGCTTTCTTTCTTACGGTGACGTACAAGCAGTGGTTCAGCTGTTTCCATGGAGAGTCCCGTAACATCTGCAATCTTCTGACTGACACCAGCTTCCACAGGGTCAACGCTTAGAAAAACACTGAAAATATAGTGATGATTAATCTTTGCATAGTAAGTGTGTGACTAAAACGGTTTAATATTATGTAAAATACTGCTAACTCTCATGTTTAAGTGTTTTTTGTATTAAACTTTTTAACCAAACATCATGTAGGAGTATAAGGGAATTTACATTTTGGGGTGAACTACGCCATTATAATGAGGTGATTAATAAATATTAATTAAACCTTTGAGAAACACGTAGTTTTGAGATTCCATATTGATTAACTTCCGATCTAGAAAGCTGTGGGCAAAAAAACAGGAATGAACTGTCAAGTATACATTTATGTATATGGCTAAAAGTAAGTGAACATCCAAACACCACAATTAGGTTTGCTTTCTGAGCATTTAGTTTCAAAATCATTGGCTCTGATTTTGGATGAGGCCTGCGTGCCGGCAGTTAGGACTCCAATGTATCTTAAATGTGTTCAGTGGGATTCAAATCTGGGCTTTCTATAGATCAGCCAAGTTCTTCCACACAGACCTCAATGAATCATTTCTATATGGACCTCACATGAAGCACACAATTCTCGACTGAGGTTTAAATTAGTAAATTTTAAGCTTAATTGTACAAAATTTGACTTTCATTCAAGACTGGTCAGAAATGATAAGATTGATTTTATTCTATTCAGTTTTAGATTTTTCTCAAGGTTTACACATCAGCTGGGGAGTAAATAGATATATTGTCAATTAATAAATAAATAAATTTTATAAATGTGTGTAAAACAATGAAAATAAATAGCTGGCTCTATATTTTAGGAGAAGGGTCCATAGCAAAGGGTTCATCATATTTTTGAAAAAGTTTGAAACCCACCAATCTAGAATCGAATTATGTCATAGCATTAAGACTGGAATTAAGGGGCCAAGCAAACATGTTCATTTGAAATGGATGTCCACATACATTTGCCCATTGAATAGTATAATAATAGTACACCATCAACACTATAACAAGAAATAACATTTGAAATATACTGACAACAACAAAATATTTGTGTTGTGTGTGTGTGTGTGTGTGTTAACTTGAGGTCTGGAAATATTCTTCAGGATCTCCATCTCTCTGTCTGATATAATGTCATGATATCTGATGATGCGAGGCTCGTCCCACTCCACTTCCTCTTTCACTGGTGCGTACATCAGTCTGGGGTTTCCTCCACCTGTGCTGTACCTACAGGACAGCGCCCTCTGCCTCTTGGAGATCTGATTTGATTAAATATAATAAACTTCCAATCAACACACAAAGCTTCACAATGACTGTTTGTAATTTCATGTCAAATGATTATTAAAATTTTAGCACTTGCCCTCTCGTCAACCTCTCCTCTGCACAGAGCCTCATAGTTACTTGACTCGGTGTTCAGTGGAAATATGTCAGGGTTGCTCTGTAAGTGAAGGAGTCTGTTCAGCTGAACTCTGGCTTCATCATTACTTGGATCTGAGGCAAAGATGTTTATGACTTGAATCACAACAATTTAACAAAATTGTCTGCCAAACTCAAATATAAAAATATTAAATTAAATGCTATTAAATGCAGGACAGAATGACCTCACCCAGTTTTAGAAGCCGTTGGCCGAAGTAGATTGCCACAGACAGGCTGCCAAAATGATAGACTGAGGAACTAAGGAAACGGAGCAACTCTTCCTCAGTAGTGGTTGAGTTTTCTGTTAATCTGTCCAGACTGTACAGAAACCAGAGGAAGGCGTGCTGGAATTTGTCCTCGTCATAAGCGACCAACCCTACATTGAAAGCCTCATCTGCATTTAGAGACGTTTCTGTGAAATAAAAAGCATAAATCAGATCGGAAAAAGTGAAATTCTCAGTGAAACTGCATTGGTGTAAAACTGCAGGACAGTTTACGCTTTGTGATGTCTTCTGGGTGGAGTTTGTAGATCTCTTGCAGTCTGATCAGTCCTGAAGCTGCACCATCCAAGTCCTCCAGCTGTGGGATCATTGCGTCCAACTCATTCTGATACTCTTCACACTGAGTAAGATTCGGCTGAATGTGTTTTATAATATATATCAAATCATTTCTCATTTGTCTGAGGAGTCTGTAAGCTGCCACAGGGTCTCTCACAGCTTCCTCTGGGTTCTCAGAGTCAGAGTATGAAAGCAATAGATTCGGAAGAACACTGGATGAAGACGGGTTCATCAAAAGTTAGAATGTTAGAAAATGTATTTATTAACATAATCCTTGATCTAAAACCACATACAAGATTGAATAAAACATCAAAATAAATGTCTTCACCTCTTCATTGTCTCTACATTCTCAGCATCAACACACTGACTGAAGACCTTCAGAAGGTCTTTCGTCTTCCCATATAGTTGTGCAATTAGATCTATAAAACAATCTGTACTTAATTGTCAAAAGGCATTGGATTTATGTATTAATTTTACATCATTAAGAGTTATGAAAAGTTTATTAGAAACCAAAGAGAGGGTTGATATTGTTTAGTCAATAATGGAATTAAAAGTGAAAGAGTAACTATAACGTTACACATGGTATGAGTGCATGTGTTGATATTGTGGCAAAAACTGTGATATAGGCAATTGTTCATTTTTGGTCAAAAGTCTCACAGATGAAAACAAAGGCTTCCAATCACCTTGTGACAACAGTGTAAAAAACATTGAGAAATAACGACAAAACACTACAATGATTAAAAAACTTAACAAAATATAAAGAATTGATATTGAACTGAAAGAATAACCTGTTGATGAAAAGAACTCATGTCCAGCATCAGCACAGACAATCCAAAAACACACCATAAACACCGTCAGTTCCTTTAGTGCCATTATCACTTTATCAGATCTTCAATATTTCAAACCGCAACTTGTGTGTGTATCTTACAGAGAAATTGAGCTTAAATACCGAGTTCTGTCATTAAACTCTAGATGGCGCAGGCTGATAGGTACTTACCTCAATTTGCTAGTAATCACCATGGTAATCACCTATGGTAATCACATCGTTAGCTACATAACGTTAGCGCAGCTGGTTTGCTGATGCATTGCGATTGACTGTAAACATAGATTTGACAAGATATCTGAGGTATATTTTTACAGGCTGCCGAAATCTACAGGAGAGAGAGGTAGATGATAGCTGCAATAGGCTTTATGCACAGCTTCACTACTTCCTGAACTTCAGCCAGCCCTTTGTTTCCTGTCTGTCATTATTGGACAAACTGATTAATCCAGGTGTGCCTGATTATTGTTACTGAGGCCAGGCACACCTGGATTAATCAGTTTGTCCAATAATGACAGACAGGAAACAAAGGGCTGGCTGAGGTTCAGGAAGTAGTGAAGCTGTGGCATAAAGCCAATTCACAGAAACAACGAGTAGTATGGCATCCAAAAGAACAGAGATAGATATGGTAATAAGTTATAGTAAGGCGTAAGTTAAAAGCATAATCAAAGAAGAAATGAGAAAGAAGTGGCAAGAGGAGTGGAATAAAGAAACAAAAGCAAGAATGTATTACAGTATCCAAAAGAGGGTAGGAGGTATGAGAGAAAATAATAGGAATAAAAGGGAAGAGGACATTATTTCAAGAATGAGATTTGGGCATACTGGATTGAATAGTACGCTTACATTAATAGGGAAACATGAAAACGGGATGTGTGAGGTCTGTAATATTAATGAAACAGTAGAACATGTTATTATAAATTGTCATAAGTATAAGGAGGAAAGGATGAGGCTGAAAAACTGGTTTAGAAAAGAAAAAAATAGATTTGAAATGAAGGAAATATTACAAATGAATTCAGGACATGTAGGGTATAGAGCGATTTGTGTTTTTGAGTAAAACAGGGCTTAGTAGAAGAATATGAGTTGAGTTGTCTTAGAAAGTTGTATTTAATAATAATGATCATGTATGAATATTAATAATGTTATTAAATATTTATGAAGTTATTTATTGGTTTTATTATGGATGTATGTATTTATTTATATATTTATTTAAAGGTAGTGAGGAAAGGCTATTGTGATCCACACTCCATATCAGAAGGTGGCGGTAATGCACACTTAAAAGTTGTTTGCCAACCGCCATTAAAAGAAAGAAGAAGAAGAAGAAGAAGAAGAACGAGTAGTATGAAGCTGCAGACTCGGAGACCTGCATCTACAGTCCCCCTGCACCCAGAGTCCCGCATTCTCAGACCCCTCGTTTTTCGAGACAGCGCCTCCTATCAAATTGTATCGGATAAACATGTGAAGAACTTAAGCCAAAACGTGAGTAGGCTATCTTCAATTTTATTTAGCGAATCGTAGTAGCTTACTAGTTTGATTTATTTTTTAATAAAACTAATTTAGCTCATCGATACAACATATAGTCCATATTTGTAAAGATAGTTTGTAACAAGATTTGAGACGTTAATGTATGTTTTTTTCGCCCTCTTCCCCCCGAAAATATTTTGATAGCTAACGTTAGCCTTTAACCTTGGACTTTTTGTAGATATGTCATAAATGCTGCAGTGATTTTCACTGCCCATTTTGTGCCCCCATATATTTCAAACCCACAAAGTTGTCCAAAGTTCAAAAACATCTCAAGGGACACTTCAACAGAGCACTGCAACATGAAGATAATGTAGATTATGTTGATGACGTGTAAGATGACGTAGGAAAGTCTAGTAAGAAGCGGAAACTAGGCAGAAGTGTATGATAATAATAAAGAGCAGACCTGAGTTCTACACGAGGTGTCAGTGAGTTTGTACACACATCTACATGGTGTCAGAAGTCAGCCTAAAGTGACGATGGCACAAGGACTTCGTAAGATCGACCCCCTCATCTTTGACGAGAATATTGCGGACAATTGGACTAAGTTTAAGCGCGAATGGCGCATATACAGCAACGCCGGTCTCTCAGCAGCAACCGAAAAAGTGCGAGCATACACGTTTCTCAACCTCGCTGGTCCCGATGCCCAAGATAAATATGACACATTCACTTTCGAGGAGGAGGAAGATCCGGAGGATTCAGAGGTACTGGTAAAGAAATTTGAAGAAATCTGCCTGCCTGCAGTGTTGGGCAAGTTACTTTTAAAAAGTAATTAGTTACAGTTACTAGTTACTACTTCCAAAAAGTAACTAAATTAGTTACTCAGTTACAAATTTTAAAAGTAACTAGTTACTTAAGAAAGTAACTATTGCGTTACTTTCAAGTAAAATTAAATTTTAAATGCTCAAATGTGACCCCACCTCTACCCCTCTTTAACGGAACTTACAATACATGTGCATGTTCAATTATTTATGATAAATCTGAATATTATAATGAAATGGACACTTAATACAATACATTATTAACAGAAACATGAAACATTGTACACACATCTAAAAAAAAAAAATGCTGCTGTGGGACAAAGTGAGACTAGCCTCCAATCAAATGCCATGTAGATATTATGTTTATAGTGGATCAATGCAAATAACACAATAGATGTTTTGGAACTTTTGATATTTGTTGCCCCTCAACAGGCCACAACTGGGCAAAATTAAATTAAGCTTGTTAATGTCACGGGGTGGTTCAGGAAGGACAGGAGCGGCAGGTATAATCCAAAAACGAGTTTAATTCACAAGACAGGCAGACAGGCAAACGGGTGCAACAGCGTGTGAACACGTAACAAAGTGTAACACACAAACAATACCGGACACTGAACAGAAGACAGGCAGGAACTTAAATACAAAGTGATGATAATTACAAATGACAGGCAGCTGTGAGGGAGGTGATCAGTGTCCATGGATACAGATTGGTGGCGGGAAACTCAGACTGGGGAACACATGTGGCAAAACAAAACAAACTGAAAGTCCAAGGAAGCCTAGTGGTGACATAACGCCCCCCTCCGGCAAGGCGCGTCCTCGCGCCGTAACAAAATGACGGAGGAGGGACCGGAGGAGGTTCTGGAGGTGGACGAGAAGATGAGGAAGTGCAGGAGAGAGGCTGGAGTGACAGGATGGTGAATGGACGACGATCCCCTGACGGCACAGATGTAGATGGCCTGGTGGCGCAGACCCAGAGCCATCCAGTACCGACAGCCCACGGCAGAGTAGACGGAGGGAAGAGACCAGATGGAGAAGAGGCTGACGGTAGCTGGGGGATGACCGACGGAGACTCGGCGGCAGGATCCATCGGCGCAGACGGAGAGCAGGTGGACTCCAACGACGTCGCTGGACTTGGAGACCCAGGCGACATCACGGCGACGAGTGCTGGAGATGGAGCCAGAGTGCCCGAGAGCAGAGGCGGAGGTGGAGTGAGGGAGGACAGAGGTGACGCTGAAGGGAAGGAGGAACCCGCTGTAGCCAAAGGGGTGGAGGGATGGAGCGTAGCGGACGGACCGTAAGTCCGCGGCGAAGGCAGAGTGACGACTGACCAAGGGGGAGCCGGCAGGACGAGCGAACCCGCTGCAGCCGATGGTTCGAGGGTCTCTGGTGGAAGCGTTGGTAGGAGGAGCCAAGACGGAGCCGGCAGGTCGACAGGCCGAGATGGAGTGCAGAGGACTGAGGCTGGAGGCGGAGCCACGAGATCCTCACGCCCGAGTGCTGCGGATGGTGAGCTGACCTGCGTCTCGGTGTCCGGGAGCCTCCCCAGAGACGATGTAGGGCAGCGAACATCAAGCAGCGGCGGGGCTGGAGGACTGGCTGAGTGTAGTAGAGCAGTGGAATCTGACAGGTTGACGACAGGGTAGACACAGTCACTGGAAGGGTCTGAGGATGATGATGGTGCAGATGACGGGTGGGACAGGGTGGGATCCGGTGTCTCCTCAGAAGAATCCTTCAGCCAGTCCTCATAATCCGTGGATTGGGTCCCCTCGTCCGCAGATGTCGTGGGCTCACACCCCTGGTCAGACTCCTGTTGGAGCTCCTCCTCCGGGGCGAGGATCAGCTCTGTCCTCTCTGTCTTGGGCTCTGGCTGACGCGTCGCGGCGGGTGGTAGCTCTCCGCCTGCGGGGGGCTCGCACGAGTACTCCGTGGTCGAGGGTGGTAATCCGGGCTCTGGGTCTGGCTGAGTGCTGGATCGGAGCTCGACGCTTTCCAGACACCTGATGACAGCCTCCCTCCAGTTCAAGTTGGAGGTGTCTGGAAGGTCGACGCGTTGATGGTAATTGGCCCCGATCCAGAACAGATTTTTCAGGGTTTCGTCGTCGAGGGGGCTGGTGAGTGCAAGAAAAACAAAATCTCTAGAAAAAGTCAAAAAGTTTTTACTCTTCTCAGCGAGCTGGATAAAATCAATATTATCCATTTTTTTTTCTTTGTGGGTCCGGTATTCTGTCACGGGGTGGTTCAGGAAGGACAGGAGCGGCAGGTATAATCCAAAAACGAGTTTAATTCACAAGACAGGCAAACGGGTGCAACAGCGTGTGAACACGTAACAAAGTGTAACACACAAACAATACCGGACACTGAACAGAAGACAGGCAGGAACTTAAATACACAGTGATGATAATTACAAATGACAGGCAGCTGTGAGGGAGGTGATCAGTGTCCATGGATACAGATTGGTAGCGGGAAACTCAGACTGGGGAACACACGTGGCAAAACAAAACAAACTGAAAGTCCAAGGAAGCCTAGTGGTGACAGTTAAGCTCGTCGCCATACCTGTCTCTCGTTGACTGACTGGCTTGCTTGTGTTGTTCATTGTGTGTCCTGTCCTGTCCGACTATGCGTTATGATGGGTCGTTCGCAATTCATGAGCGTTAGCCGTTAGTGATGATGGATCGACTCGTTCGCGAATGAGCTTTTGATGGGTCGTTCGCGATTCGCGAATGAGGCGACTCTAAGAGCCGGCTCTTTTAGGTGAACGTCGGGAGCTGGCTCGCATATCTGAAGAGCCGACTCTATTTTTACAAATTTAGCCTATAGAAATTAAATAATTATGTAAAAAAATAAATAAATATTATAGTCAAAGTCATTTAAAGAGCCGTTTGTGAGCCAAAAGAGCCGGCTCTTTTCAGTGAGCTGAGTCAAAAGTGCCGAATGCCTACTACTATGCGTGCTTTCGAACACCCGCCCAACTCTACCTCTGATTGGCTTACAATGACATTTTACTCTACCTCAGCCGCAGTGTTAATTTCGTTGACGAAAATAACGACGAAAATTATTCGTCAACGACATTTTTTCACAGACGAAAACGAGACGATAACTAAATAAAACCTAGTTTTGAATGACAAAGACTATGACGAAAATCTATTGACATTTTCGTCAACGAATAAAAACTAGACGAAAATGTTAGATAGTGACGATTTGGGAAGCGATCCGTCAGAACTGATGTCCTGCGTGTGTGGTAGATGCGCACATTTGTAGGCTACTGTAACGTGATCTACCCCGCGGTCATAAAACGTTAAAAAATGTGAACGTCTGGGAGAATGAGTAGAGCAGACATATAGATCTCTGAATAAGAGTGACGATGCAAAAAAGAGCTCTATTCGGTGCGGTTTTCTGTGCGCACACACCTAACCCGAAGCGTGCAGTCATGCACAATACACCTACAGCGCGCGAGTAGGCTACTGAATTGAGCTCTCTTTCGTGTCTGAATGGAGAAATACACAACAATATGTCTAAATGTCCTTTTTGGAGAGTATTCATGTAAACTATGCTGGTTATGTCTTAAACTGTGAGTGTGTCGGATGTGCATCAGTGCAATTGTATCCGCATGTCATTGGACATGATCCGACGTCTTAAAGTGACAGTGGCAATAAACCTAATGCGGTCCGTGTCCTTAATTTTGATCAAGCAACAAAAGAAAAAGAGAAAAGCATTCACTGTTTGTTAATAGCTTTAATAAGGATTAATTATATTTAATTCATACAAATAAATATGTCTGCTTGAAAGAATAAAGAATGATGTGTAAGTAGTTATAAGGAATGAATATATCATTCATTGTAAAGAAGACTGTGTTGTACTTTAGGAAAAGTGGTTTTATTTCATTTTAAGATATTTTTTAAGTAACAGCAGTTAAATCTGTATCTGTATTGCATGTTCAAACTTAAAAATCATTCATATTAATAGGTTAATAGATGTTTTCTCCGGGAGTATATGGGTTTGGAAATTTTAGAGAAATTCTAAATTAACGCATTACAATTGAACTAAACCCATTATATTTTAGTCGACTAAATCTACTGTAGATTTAGTCGACTAAAATGTTATTGTATTTCGTCGACTAAAACTAGACTAAAACTAAAACAATTCAGATGACTAAAATATGACTAAAACTAAATGGCATTTTAGTCAAAAGACTAAGACTAAAACTAAATCAAAATTTGCTGACAAAATTAACACTGCTCAGCCGTCAGCATTTATGCGCTTGTCTCGTGCTCTGCCCACTAACCAAGGAAGAACAGTAAAAAAAGTATTTGCCTCTCGCTCAGAGATCTAGTTGGTCTGATGAAAAAAAAAAACCCAGCTTCATCAGTTATAGTAACGCGCCGCATTTTTTGGCAGTAACGGGAACGGCGTTATTAAGATGAGAAGAGTAATCAATTAGATTACTCGTTACTGGAAAAAGTAATGCCGTTAGTAACGGCGTTATTTATAACGCCGTTATTCCCATCACTGCCTGCCTGTAAAGAATGTAATTATGGACAGACATGCATTCAATACAACGAACCAGAAGCCACATGAAACAATCCAGTCCTACGTTGCCACGTTAAAGACAGTAGCCAGAAAATGTGAATTTGGGACGTTACACGACGAACTGTTAAGAGATCGATTGGTATGTGGCATTCACAATGACAACATCCGCACACAGCTGTTGAAAGAAAAAAAATCTAACTTTAAACTCAGCTATCGAAATATGCATGTTACATGAGCAGTCTGAAAAAGGAAACAAAGAAATAAAAAAAGAAGCAGGTACTAAAGAAGGAAAGTGAAGTTTGTGCAGTGCAATATTTTACGTGTTCGAACTGTGGTGGCCAGCATTCATCTGACCGCAGCAGCTGTCCAGCCTTCAACAAGCGCTGCAATGCGTTTGGCAAGTGGAATCACTTCTCTAAATGCTGCAGATCAAACAAAACACGCATTTACAACAGATTAGAGCAAGGTCCATCTCAGTCAAACAGAGCACCCCACACCATACGCAGAGGAGGACAGACACATAGAATTAGTGAACTTGATGCACAAATTGCATATGAACCAGCAGATCTGTTTTACTGTGAAAGTGTAGAGGTGCCAGCTGATAAGGGAGAGATATTTACCATCCTGTCCACTTCCAACACAGGGAAGCAACTTGAGGTGAAGATTGACACTGGAGCCCGGTGCAATGTACTGTCTAGAGGCGTTCTCCAGCACATCGACCCAGGCGCTCATGTCGACCACAGCCATGTAGTCAACCTTGTGGCCTATGGTGGTCAGATTATAAGGACTTTAGGTGTCACTAATGTAAACTTCACATGTGGGACACTACAGTTCCACGTTGTTGACAATGATGTAAAACCCCTATTGGGCCTCAGAGACAGCGTCAAATTAGGCTTTGTGCATCTTGGCCCGAATGTGCACAATCTCCAACAAGGCTCTCCAGCCGAGCTCGCAGAGTATAAAGATCTCTTTGACTGCAGCAGCATAGGCAAACTGCCTGTAGTGTATCACATGCGTTTGGACCCCTCTGTGCACCCTACAATATGTGCTCTCAGACGAGTGCCATTGGCAAATGAAAGACAAAATAATCAATGAACTCAACAGAATGACTGAACTGGGAGTCATTAAGTCAGTTCAGGAGCCCACTGAGTGGGTCTCGTCTATGGTGGCGGCACGTAAGAAAGATGGTGCCGTAAGACTGTGTATTGACCCTGTCCACCTCAACAAAGCCCTCCTCAGGCCACATCATCCCATGAAAACAGTGGAACAGGTGATCGCCGACATGCCAGGAGCCAAGGTGTTCAGCATCCTTGATGCTAAGTGTGGGTTCTGGCAGGTGCCACTCAGTGAGGAGTCATCAAAGCTGACAACCTTCATGACCCCAGTGGGCCGATATGCCTTCCTCCGAATGCCTTATGGGATATCCACGGGTAGTGAAGTTTTCCAAAGGTGTATGGAGCAGCTCTTTGAAGGACAACCATGTGCAATCGTGGTTGATGACATCCTCGTTTGGGGCAGCACAAGAGAAGAGCATGATCTGCGCCTCCGCCAGGTCATGGACAGAATACGTGCCGTAAACCTTAAGCTTAACCCTGACAAGTGCCGTTTTCGGGTGTCTGAGGTGTTGTATGTGGGTCACCTTCTAACTGACCAGGGCATAAAGCCCGACCCTACAAAGACAGATGCTGTCCGTTCAATGCCAACCCCAGCAGACAAGCATGGAGTCCAAAGGTTCTTAGGTATGACAAACTATTTGTCAAAATTCATCACGGGCTATAGCGAAACCACAGCACCCCTCCGCCAACTCCTGCTTCAGGATGTAGAGTGGTGTTGGCAGGAACACCACATGGCAGCATTCACCAGACTCAAAGAACTACTCACAAGTCCTCCTGTACTTCAGTACTTTGACGTGCATCAGCCGGTGGTGTTATCTGCAGATGCCTCGCAGCATGGTTTGGGTGCTGTCTGCCTCCAGAACAACAAACCGGTGGCGTTTGCCTCAAGAGCACTTACAGAGACTGAGTCACGCTACGCTCAGATAGAGAAGGAGCTTTTGGCCCTTGTCTATGCTTGTCAGAAATTCCACGACTACATATATGGCCGTCCAGTGACTGTCGAAACTGATCATCAGCCTCTCATCACTATTCTAAGAAAACCACTACACTCAGCTTCTGCACGCCTTCAGAGGATGATGCTTAAGCTGCAGCGCTACAACCTCAATGTCATTTACAAGAGAGGCAAAGAGCTATACCTAGCAGACGCGCTGTCGCGTGCACACCTGCCCTCCACCGACTTGGCCGAAACTAGTGAGGACTACGATGTGATGACAGTGGAAGCTCTTTCGTCAAGAAGAATTGTGGAACTGAGGCAGGAAACACAGGCAGATCAGACAGCTGCATCAGGGCCACCCGGGCCTAGAAGCAACAAAACGCAGGGCCAGAGAAACCATGTTTTGGCCCAGCATATACCAGGACATTGAACATGAAATCTCCAGGTGTGCTCCTTGTAATGCCCTCAGACCGCACCAAACAAAGGAGCCCCTTCAATTGCATTATATACCAGACTTGCCATGGGCTCTCACCGCCGCAGACGTTTTTGAGTGGGGGGGGAAAGAACATCTGGTGCTCGTTGACTCATACTCCGGCTGGTTTGAAATAGACCAACTCCCAAACGTGACCAGCGCGACCATCATAAGCAGGCTAAAGCGCCACTTTGCCACCCATGGAGCGCCTCAACAGCTAATGACTGACAATGCAGCATATTTCACAAGCAGGGAGTTCCAAGAATTTGCCCACATATGGGACATTTGCCATGTCACCAGCAGCCCCCACTACCCTCAATCAAATGGGCTAGCTGAGAGGGCTGTACGCTCGGCTAAACACCTGCTGGAAAAATGCGCACGTGATGGTACAGATGTATATGCGGCACTGCTCAATTTGCGCAACATACCAAGAGATGGGCTGCCCTCACCAGCCCAGCGGCTGTTTTCTCGGCGCACTAAGACCCTCATTCCCATGACCAAGGTTATGTATGTGCCAAAGGTAGAAACACAGGTCCGGGCAGCTCTGACACGGACAAGACAGAGAGGAAAGACACATTATGACAGATCAGCCAGACCTTTGGTTCCATTGCAAGCAGGGCAGACAATAAGAATACAGACGAGTAGGGGATATGACAGATTGGCGACGGTAATAGGAAGAGCACCGCAGCCAAACAGCTACCAGGTCCAGTCCGGAGATGCGACATATTTGAGAAACAGGTGCCACCTCCTACACACACCTGAACAATACAACCCGCCCACAACAACAGAGGCCCCACTCAACCCCGATAGTGAACCCCTGCCAGAACACCAGCCTAATGTCGAACAGCCGCAAAGGGAACATGTGCAGGAACCACCCGTAGTTGTCACCCGTTCAGGAAGAATATCAAAGCCCAACCCCCGATACAAAGACTACACGACATAAGCTTAGAGAGTTCTCTACCCATATTTCAGCAGCCCCCCAAAAAAAAAAAAAACAGGGCTATGTTAAACGTTGTATTTTGTTGTGCAGTGTTGTATCATATTTTGGTACACATGTTAGGTTGTACACTGTTTTCCAGTTCTACTGCACTTATATAGCAGATAAAGTTAAGGGCTAACGGTTATATATATTCTCATCATTAAGAAGGGGGATGTAGATTATGTTGATGACGTGTAAGATGACGTAGGAGGTCTAGTAAGAAGCGGAATAGGCAGAAGTGTATGATAATAATAAAGAGCAGACCTGAGTTCTACACGAGGTGTCAGTGAGTTTGTACACACATCTACAGGTAACATTTGCAAACATCTTTTTTTCTTTTTCTTTCTTTCTTTTTGAAACATCATAAGACATGTGCTATCGGGCCTATACTGTTGTAGGCTATTCCAGGGTACACCATACATCGATGGAGTCGCCCCTGCCGAACCCAGCAACATATCATTTTATGATTATGCAAAGCGACTCATAAATTAGTTTTTTTTAATGCAATTGAAGACGAAAAGTAAAGTCACGAACACAGTTTTTTGTTCCTTTTTTCTTTACAGCAAGATGATGTTTAGCAGGTGATCATTAAATAAAGTACAGAATTGTTTATTATTGGTGTTTTGTCTATTCTGATTTGTTTTGCTTCGCATTCAAAATATCAAAAAACAGATTTTGTAATGTTAGCATGGTAATGTTAATTAGACCATTATAGGTTGAACTGAAAGAAAAATTGGAATTTGAATAAAAAAAATATAAAAAAAAACATTTTAGCAATATAATATCACATACTATTTTTCAGAAGATAGTTCAATTTGTAATTGTATCCCTTCCATCGCAATGAGTTTTTTTTTGGCACATGCATTAAGCAGGGAACGCAAATATTTATTGGATCATTTATTTGGAGACCGTGATATTGCATCCTATTGTTTTTAAGTGTGCGGGTGTTATACGATCTTTCGAACAGCAGGAGGCGCTGTGTTCGAAAAACGAGGGGTCTGAGAATGCGGGACTCTCGGTGGGGGACTGTAGATGCAGGCTCCGAGTCTGCAGCTTCATAATATTGGAAACAACGGGACTCCTGGGCATCGAAACGTGGATTTGATTTGTCATTTTTTTGTCAATGTTGAATTTTGGGATAAAATGTATTTTTATTGTATTGACAACTCATTAATATTTGCCATTTTATATTCTACAATTTTATGTTTTTAAACAAACACAATATTACGATAATTAACCTACCTATAGGCTATTTATATGCATTCACAGGCATATTTGCTTTATGTAGCCTAGGCCCACCCCGACGTCGAAATCGCATATATAAATGTCAGGAAACATAATTAATAACATAACATTCCTGACTGCATGCCCATGGATCAAGTTGTAAGGAACACTAACACTAGTATCGACTCCAACCTTTAGTTTAAAGTAAACTGATAGTGGTTAGGTTACTCGCGTTTTCCCTATCCAGTCATGCAGCAGGGCCGGCTGAGGAGGCGTGTTCCGGCGGGAAAGTGACTTCAGTGTTTGCTTAGAGCGTTTTCAGAAAGCATCTGAAATCAACATCTGAGAGATTAGTGAACGCTCTTTTACTCCATATGTCTGTGCATATTAGGTGGTTTGCTATTAATTCCAAAATGAGCAATCATAAGCGTCATTAGTCATGTGGGATATAAGGAGCTGCAGCGTACGCAATTAAAAATGCAGTGCAGCAAGCCGTCTGTATTTAATTGCTGTGAGGATACGCCGTCCGTCTACTATGCTACATGAGAAAAGGTTAAAGTGAAATAAGCATTATGCACTTTCAACGGGGTTATGTTTAGCTGCACTCTTGACGCATTCATTTATTCCCATGGGCAATATTTCCATTAATTAGATATGCTTAGGGTTAGTTAAGTCAAAAATTAAAATTCTGCCATAATTACTCACCGTAGAGTCGTTCCACACCCGTATCAATGATATATAGACCTATGTTTTTCTTTAGGACCCAAATGAAGATATTTTTGATGAAATTGAGAGCTTTCAGTTCCTCTTATTGGCTGCAGCGCAATTTACACATGAAAGATCCAGAACAATATGAAGACATCATTAAAGGTAACCCATGTGACTCCAGGTGGTTTAACATCAGTCAACATTAATGTAACCCAGTAGGTTATAACTATGTTGTTAATAAGTTACTTCAATTTATTAGCTTTGTTTAATTAAGAGATAAAATCTGAATTAACCATTCATCTTTGTTTGTGATTATACGTGTATTTGTGTCTTTAAGAGCGCGCGTGCATGAGATACAAGTTTGATGTAGGTGTACATGTGGAAAACGTGGCTTTAACCATAGATATAATAAATACTTTGGCCCTGTCCCAATACCCGCACTTGCGCCCTTGTGCCCCTCAATGCGCGTTCTCGCTAAGGGGTGCAAGACCGTAGGGTGTCCCGATCCTCTAATAGTGTTCTCCAGGGGTGATCATAAGGGCACTTAATGCACCCCTTTCGCAAGTGCGCATCAGACCTCACTTTGCTGTGGGATATTACCCAGAATCCTTGTAGTGTTGTGACATTTCGAACAGCTAACCAATGGGGGAGAATGGTTGCTATGGTGCTGTTCGGGAGCGGAAACTCCGAAGATAAAGGAAGCCGGTATGGTGAAGTGTTTTTCAAGGCCGCGAAATTTAAAAATATTAGTGTTATCGTGTCACGAAATGTAGTTTTAAGAGTTTTTCAGTCGAGAATATAGTTGTTTAAAGCTCAAACCTGTGGTTTGTTTATAAAGATAGCGCCTATTTAAAATTTTGATCTGACTTTTTCGGAGTTCCAGGGATCAGCGGGCGCACGGCGCTCATGTACCCCGCCTGGAACAGCCTTACCTCGGCTAGTCATTCTAACGTTTCCCGCGGGCTCTGTGTCTTGTGGTTAAACATGAGTTTTAAATCGGCTTTTGTATATCTAACAGGCGATCTTTGGTCTCATTAATCTATGATTTGTTCCCTGGCAAATCGTTTTGGCTGAGGGCAAAGTGAAGTTTCATAACTTTATATATTTATGCTATTTAACTGTAACGTTGTACGCAGCACACACATTAGCCAAATGAATGGTGTTTGCTCTCCTGATCACAACAGAAGTGACGTGTGCAAAACTGTCCCAATTCTGCTCTTCACAGCTTTGGGCCCTTGCGCACTTACTCCGCTAAGTGCACTTTCAACAAGTGTCCACTTCCAGGAAGGCCTTAGGGCTCAAGTGAGAATTGGGACTGGGCCATAGATGCCCTATTGGCCGCTTTGGAACGTTGCTGCGATACGTCAACGGGTCCGCCATTTTGCGGAGGGCAAGACTGCGCTGTGAACAAATGTAAGTAAACGGGGGAGCTGCGTTTTTTCTGGATAAAAACAAACTGTTTTTACATTTATCAACCGATTTCAGTGGTTTGAATGTGGTGTACAAAAAGTTCCATCTCTAGTTATTTAAAATCTCGATAGTTAGACTTGTAAAAAAAAATTTTTTAATAAAGAATGGTCAATTAAGCTCAGGCTTGTCATGTATCTGGCTTTTTATTCTTGGATAAGAATGGTGAAGACCCCCATACTGAGATATAATTTAAGTTTTCTTATTGTGGAAAAAGCATTTTCTGTGATTGACCAAATTTTAGCAATAACAAAGATAACTGATGGATCCTTTATAATAATACGTTATGGTACAACTACAGTGCAATGCAAATAGTAAATATAACATAAAGTGAGAAGTAATAGTAAATAGTTTAGTCAATAAAATAAACAAATAGTATACAGCAAATAAAATAGTAATGATTAGTATAATTATATAATATCATAAGTCCAATAATACAATCATAAAAATATTGATAATAGCATAGTTTATTAATAATACTATAATAATAGCAATAGAATAAGAAATATCAATTACAGAATATACACAATAAAAAATAAGTTAAATAGTGACTTTAATATTTAACTCTTTTTGTTAAATTTCAGTTTTATTGATCAGTATAACAGAAGTAGCTTCAGTCAAACATACAGCAGGATACAACGTTAAAATAGCCTAAATAGTTATGAAACTTCACTTTGCCCTCAGCCAAAACGATTTACCAGGGAACCATTTATAGATTAATGAGACCAAAGATCGCCCGTTAGATATACACAAGACGAATAATATCTCATGTTTAACCACTAACGTTAGACTACAGACATCCGAGTCAGCGGGAAAACTTCAAAAGCACTGACCGAGGTACGGCTGTTCCAGGCGGGGTAGACGAGCGCTGAGCGCATCTTACAACTCCGAAAACGTCAGATCAATTTTTTAAATAGGCGCTATCTTTATAAACAAACCACATATTTGAGCTTTAAACAACTACATTGTCGACTGAAAAACTATTTAAACTACATTTCGTGACACAATAACAGTAGTATTTTTAAATTTATCCTCTGAACGTTACTATTAATCATGACCAAATACAACCAAAAACAAACGTTCAGTCTTGCTGGTGAAAGGTAATTCCTCGAAAGCTGTTTTCAATTGTGTGGCGATGTGTACAGCCCCAAACAGCGCACAAAACATGCATTTTTCTCAATTCCCTGTATGAGAGGTATGGGAAAGTTGCCATCCCCAACATGGCGGCGCCGTTGACGTACGCTCCAGCGGCCAATAGGGCGTCTATGTATATATTAGGCTTGTTTGAGATGAGCAAAATCTGCGCAGAACCGATCACCGGTGATCAGCGCGAGATGCATGCCGGTTAGAAATGTGTCCGAGTGCGGTCCGCCTTGCTCTGATGTCATGCTGACGTGAGTCAAAAAAGTCTCGCGACCGCAAGGCGCACGTGTCGGATTCTGCAGTCGCGCGCAGTTGCTCTCCACCGACTGCGCTGATCAAAAGCATGATGGGAAACGACTTGCTGACGACACAGCTTAATGCTCATTGGTTTAAACAACCGTGATGTATTGTTCTCTTTTAAAAAGTTTGATTTTAAAACTCTGATATCATGTTTTATGTGTATAGATTATGTGTGGATATCCCCAAACTCTCTGACAGTGCGATCTATGTGATGTAATTTAACACACAAAAAAAACACACAAAAAAAACACATAGGCCTATCTGTATTAAAGAAAAAAATTATTCATAAACATATAGGCCTATTTAAAATGGAATTAAATAAGTACTTTGGGTGTCTTTTTCATTATATTTATTTTCATATTCAAGCAACAAAACTTAAAATACATCCATTTATTAGCAACACCGTGCACGAGTGTGAATCCCGTGAATCCCGCGATATCCGCCTTTGATCTCACAGGTGTCAGATCCACTGCGAGAAGAGCGATCTGTCCGGCTTGC